AGATTTATTTGTTTGTAAGCTTAAAATAGATTCTTATTAACCATATATTATTAAAAATGCATTTATAAATAAAATACAGAACTGGGAATGGTTATTTGTGATTTAGCCTAGTGACAAGTAAATTCAACTTAAGTCACCTCTCTTTGAACAAATTATCAATGTACATTGAGGTATACCTGTATTGCTTTTCAAAATAGAAGAAAGAAAATTTGAATTCATCCAATTGAATTTCTTTTCTTCTAATTGTTTATTGTCAACTCAAAGCTTATAAATTACCGGAAATTTTACTAGTAAACTGATATCATTTTGAAAGTTTGCCGTATTTCCAAACAAGTCGGTAAATTTGCAAATTCTAATCATAATTACAAAAGTGATAACATAAAAAATTGAATTTGGGTGGGATGTATGTTGTATCATTGATGACATTGATGATTAGCCAAAATGTTTTTTGAGATAAAACTTTGTGTTTTCCTGTAAGTTGTAAATTTTTTTTTTAAGGATCATTTATGTAATGAATTATAAAAATAATAAAGACTTCATTCTTTTATAACTATAATTTTCTAATATTATCATCATCATCATTTTCAATTGTGGTGTAGTTTCCCTTACATAATTGTTCTGCATTTGTGCCCAGTTTGCCTATATCATTTGCTTCTCTCCACCATGTTGTGCCTGCTTGTTTTCTTATGTCATAGTCTGATCAAGTTTGGATGTCCTCTGGGTCTCTTGATTCCTTGTGGATACCACATCATAATTCTAGTATATGTCTTATTATATTACATGCATTTTTGCATTATATAACTGTTTCTTATCATTATTTGAGTTCTCCGTCTTTAATTTTATCCTTCTAACTGGCAAATTTGTTTTGATAGTACCAAATACTTTTGGACCCATTTCTAATTTTGTCATTGGGAGTAACATGTAAAATTCATAAGATTTCATCTTTCTAGAAAACAGTTTTCTTGTTAAGAACTTCAAATCAAATGTGTTGTCTTCAAATTTAATCTGGCATTCTGTTGTTCTTTACACACTATTAAATTTTCTAGTAGTAGTAAACTCCAGTAAAGCAATGGTTGGTAGTTATTTTCAGATCCCTATTTTTTCTAACCAGTTGGTTCTCAAAAAAACTGTCAAATGAGATGTTATTTGCTATAAATTTTGTCATAAATTGAAAGTAAGCTTGACATAGTATCATGTAGACTACATATTATATCAAGATGGTCAACAAAAATAAGAATGAACAGTCATAAAAATGGGTTTATTGTATGGGTGTGAATGCATCATTGCTTACTGATGTACAATAGTAATTAAAATTAAGAAAGTTATACTTTGAAATATCAAAAATGAGATGTATGCATAAATTGAAAATGTATTTTCAATATATAAACCTCAATGCTTCAAATTAAAAGTAGAAAATTCACAGATAAGAAGAAGATACAGGATTTGTGTGTTTAATTCTTTCTAATCCTTGTTGTGTGATGTGAAAAATTTCACTTCTAGGTCTATTTTGTTTGGAATATTGTCTACTAAATTTTTTTGTATTGAATTTAATGTTCTTACTTATAATTAAGAGCATTAAGATCAGTTTACAATCTACAGCAGTGTGATGCTGCAACGGCAGAGTTGCATCAAATATGCCATCCTTGGCTCCGTTAGACATTGAATTATATGCACACGCTTCCAGTCTAGCAACACGACTTCAGAGTCAAACAAATGTTTGGCTTTGACTTGTCATTCCACCTCTCTCTGTGATGCTCCATTACAATTTTGTTTTGAATACAAAGAATTCAGCTTTCTTGACAATTTTTAGATTTTGTACACTACAAATCAAAATCTCTCTCTTAGAAAGATGTAAAAATCTTTTCAGAACTTTATTTAGTCATAAAATATTACATTATTGTAAGTTCTTGTTCTAGATTTTTTTCAGTTTTTCGAAAGTTCTTTATAAGTATCTTTTGATTTAATAGTATTGGATGATCATACGAGAAGTTTACATGCAAAGAATAGTCTCAGCGACATCACAAATTGGTCATTCTTATTACTATTTGCTTCACCACAAGAAACACTTTAAAGTAAATAAATTTTCAAGATTTGACTTGTGACGACATTCAAAACACTTCACCAGCATTTCCAAATTTACTACTAGCAAATAAAATTCGTGTTCAATTCAAAATATTTAAACGAGCAATACTCTATTTCAGGCTACGTAAACAAGACTGTCTTATAAAATTTGCTGAAATTTTTTCATAAAATCTATAGACTGCAAATTTCTTTATATCCATTTAATCAGAAATAAACATTTTGTTGATTGATAGTGATTTCGAGGAAAGAAAAAATGGAAAATATTTTCCAAATGAATAAATGTAGAGCCTTTTTCTTCAATGAAGTGAGGTGGTAGTAAGTTATGTGAACTATTACACTGTTAAAAACAAAATTTTCTGATAGCTTTTAAAATAGAAAAGCTCAGAGAGATTTTCTGTCAAAATTCTTTAAAATTTAATAACAGTTTTTGTTGTTAAATAATCTCACCTGTTAGTTTATTAGTAAAACATTATTAAAGATCTTTATTTAAATAGTTAATTTTGTGTTTTTATGTAACAATTAATCTATTGTACAAAGCATTTAAATTACCATGTCTGTTTGACAAACTCTGCCATTTCATGCGAGGCTTGTATACTCAATAATGTTTAGTAATTATTTCATATATATCTAATCATTAATTGTAATATTTGTTGTTTTTGTTTTTAGATTAAATTGTAAACAAATAAGTGAAATAATATTAAACTTTATAATTAATTTTAAACGTTAAAAAAATGAATGCTATTTTGCATAAAAAAACACTTATAGTTTTGTATTAGTATTATGAATTTTCTGTTATAATAATATAACTGTTGGATGAATGTAGTGATACTTGTTTTTCAAATTCAGTTAAATTTATTGAGTAAATTAGTCAGTTATGAATTAATGGACTTCTTTATCAGCAAGTTAGATTTTTATTTGGTGTGTGTGTATATTAATAGAAGATCAAAAGAATGGCTTATTTATCATATTAATAAAACAGTTTAATTTTTAAAAAAACATAGAAAAAAAGAAAATCTATGCCTTCTTTCATTTTTAAATCAAAATAACTCAAAAATCATATTGTATATTTTTAATTTTTGCTCTGTTATATCATGTTCATTTATCATTTGTCCATAAAAGAATAAATGTTGCCCTCGTTTACTTATTCTTGAAAATTCTTAAAATATGCTTGATATTTGGAATTATTATTTTTTTAAATATATTTTATTTTTATTTTGAAATGTACACTTTACTGTTTTTNGGTACTAACTGCCCCATTTTAGGAGATATAGGGTGACATTAGAGTTACTACCCAGGTAGTGTTGGGTCAGTTTGGCTGGCAATTTTAAATTGAGGCCGGCAATTGACGAAAATGTTTTAAGTTTCTGCAAAACAGTTAAAAATATAAACAAAATTATGATACTTTCATCATTTTTATATTATAAAATTATATCAAATGTATTTAAATGAATATTTGATTTGTTTAGAATTTTATTTATTATTATTATGTGTGCTAATTTTTCATATTTATTATCTTTGTAATTACTATTATTATTATTTAATTTTAATTTTTCTTAATAAAATTATCATATTTTCTTGATTTTAAGATATGGTGCAGTTCTAAAATTTAATTTTAAGATTTTATTTTTACAATGAAAAATGTTGAAAAAAATTAGTTTTTAAGTTTTTGTGCCAAAATTAAGTAACAAGTTTGGTAAATAGTGTAAATGTTAAGAAATGATGTGTTTGGCAGCTTTATTACCCCCATTGTTTTGCATATACAATAACTATTCTTTTTAATGTAGCATTGTAAGTTGCCTCAAAGACATGTTAAGCATTAAAAAGTAGTTTAAATAAGATGCTTGATACTGGCAGAATATGTTTGAACCCAATTAGTATAGCCAAAAACATCTGTAATGTATAAGGTATAAGTAATGGCATAAAGGTTTATGAACTGGTGTATGCCAGTTTAGGAAGCTGCCTTGAAGACAACATTTTTATAATGTCAAAAATGTTTGGAAAGAAAATATACATTTTACCTCAATCATTGCTTTAATGTTTGTTTCACACCCAGAAAATCAATTTTAATTATCTAGAATGATAATGGCATAAACTGGATAACTTTAAAATCTGACACACAAAAACCATAGGACTCTAGCAAAACTTACAGACAATTGCAAATGCTAATGATTAAAATGTCGTCATCAGGCTATACTCCATACATCGGATAGTTGTTAAATTTGACAATGCAACCCAACAAGGACTTCTAAATGAGATAAAAAATGTTAGTGATTAAACAAAATTTTGTCAAAGTCTTATGCTTTATTGTATGTCAAATGTCTGTTGTCGCTGTCTAATGCATCATTTGGTCTGCTCACGACAATTATTGCTTTGGACTGCAGATGTAACATGCAATCAGTTATAAGATTTATCTCTGCATAAGACAATAAAAAACTGAGTTAAAAGTGCACCTTAGAATCAAGAAAATATGGTTATGGTTATTATTACTTTTAAATTAAAAAAAAAAGTTATTTTATTTCAAATAAATGAAAATGAAATGAAATATTTTTATCTTATTGTTATTAAAAGTATGATATAAAGAGAAGAAATATAAATAAATATGCTTAAAATGCATTTTAATATCTTGAAAGTAAATATTATATTATCAAAAGATTTATTTATTTTTTCATTATTTTGTGTAAAATGTTTAATGACTAATTTTAAAGTTAATTGACAGAAATATTTTGATTTAAAATATGGAAGTAAAAATAAATTTTTGAAGCAAATTTCTTAATTTAAATTATTTCAGAATTTAATTTATAATTTCAAGAGTGAAAATTTATTGTAAAATTTTATCTATATTTAATTTATAAGGAAGCAAATCCTAACAAGAATTGCTTTTGGTGGCTTCTCACTGCAGTTTTATTTTCTGTTTGCAGAATAATGAATCCCCATCAAGATCAACCGGACCCTGATGCCATAAAAATGTTTGTTGGACAGATTCCACGAAATTGGGATGAAAACGATCTGAAAACCATGTTCGAAGATTTCGGTCCCGTTTATCAAATCAACGTTTTAAGGGACAAATTAACGGGACAAAGTCGAGGTAAGCTAATACCAATTAGTTGTGATATACATAAATATGGAGTGTGGGTTTAAGCTGGGAAAAAATTTTCTGTAGCCTTTTACTGTAAATTTTAGAAACTTGTAGCTAACATTTCTCATTTGTGAAGCTGGCCAGAACAATACACAATACATTATTGTTTAAACATCTGTTTAGTTTCATAGATACTGTAAATTATTACAGTGTACTTCTCTACCAATATAACTATAAATCTATTGTTAAAACCAACAAGTATCATACATTATTGAACAATTCTTCTTGGTTTTGATTTACACAGCAACAAATGCTGAATGAAAATTAAATTCCCATCTTGGAGGGCCATTTATGGCAATGTTTAACAGGTTGCTGACATTTTTTACATCAAGACAGTTCTCAATTGGAGTTTTTGTTAATATCATCTCACTGAAACCTTTCACACTCAACAGTGTGCACTATGTGAAAGAACAAATTCAATAACTGTTGATATATGACAGTAATCTGAGAGGTTATTTACAACTATCATTTTATAAACTTTAGCCAATTACATATCTTTACATTTGACAGCAACAAATCTTTTAAACAAATCCCACTTCATTAGAAATTATTATTATTATTATTTTTTTAAATTACAAGATTAACAATTAAGTATTTGTTTATTGGAAACTTTTGTGTCTACAAAGCAGAGAATACATGATGCTTCCTTCATACATGAGGTAATGTCTGTCAAGGTGAACTTTCTTCTCACATAGTCAGAGCGATGAGAGACTGCACTCAGTTGGTACTAACTGCCCCATTTTAGGAGATATAGGGTGACATTAGAGTTACTACCCAGGTAGTGTTGGGTCAGTTTGGCTGGCAATTTTAAATTGAGGCCGGCAATTGACGAAAATGTTTTAAGTTTCTGCAAAACAGTTAAAAATATAAACAAAATTATATCTAATTGAAAAAATATTAGATTAAATTTTAATATTTAGTATATTTACTTATAATGATAAAATGCTTGAACAACATCTTAAATACTTTTTTGGCAACACTTTAATTAGTTCAAAACAAATGTTCTAGATCTTTTCACAAGTCTGTGAGGTTTAACAAGATGATTTGCACTGTTTAAGGACACATTTCAGATCTTTTTGTTAAACCTGATGCAGACCTGTGAAAAGGGGTCAAAAAGGTTCTTTTATAGAAATAAAAGTGTTGCTGAAAAATAGCCTACAAGGTGTTGTTTAAGCTAAATTGGTCTATACAGAAGTATTTTTTTAATGATAAAATGACTTTCCATTATAACTATTAATGTTTTTGTTATAATTCACAAAAGATGCTCTAATATGTTAAATTTTCAAATGCATTTTGCCTGATTCTGCCTGAAATTTAGTAAAATGTTGATTATATATACTTTTGGGCTGCACTTTACGTAAAAACATGCATATCTACATGTAAATGGAGAACTTTCAGGTTTCTGTTGAAAGATTGATTTTAGATTTCCTAATCTTTTTCCATTCTTAAGCTTGATGTTTATTAATTAATAAATGTACTGTGCTTGGTAATTTTTCTAAACTGAAATAAAGTTTAGAAAGTATTGAAAAGAATTGGAATTAGGAGAAATTTTGGTATTGTCCCATCGCTAGTTAAACCATCTTAAAAATGTTAGTTTTTTAGTGAAATGTGCTAAGAAAGTTGTTGCTAAATCTAAATTCTTGCAGCATTTTAGCAAAAAAAACTAGCAATGGCTTAAACCCTGCAGAGTCTTCCAAAAAGAATTGTCAATTTAAATTATTGAAATTATGTTTACTATTATCTAAGAATGTCATAATATCAAAAGATTGGAAAACTGCTGAAGATTCACATTTGTCTATTATAATTTCTCGTACATGCGCCTGACAACACATGGCACATATCCATTCAATACTCAAATTCTTCTTACTCTCTCTATGCCATATCCATGGTCATTCATACAACAGCCATAATTCTGTGGCTCCTGTAGATTACTCATATTTTACAATGATGACTGATTCAGATTTTTTGAGCTGCAGCAGAACACAAAGCACCTTCTCTGTTGCAGGGTTGCCATTTTCATTTACAGCTCTTCCTAGAGGTAGTAGATGACAATACATTTGAATGCTGATGGTGGATGAAACTTGAATGGTTACTCTTTCAATTGATGTATGTCCCATATTTCTTAGGTAACAATTAACATAATTACAGTAATTTAAAGTGGTAGAATTAATTTTAGAAGACTGCATGTGTGTGTGCAGGGTTATTCAAAAAAGTACCTCCCTGGTTTTCAAAAAGTTTTTCTGTTTATTGCAAACTGATACACTAATATACAATATAAGATATATTTCTAGAAAACTTTGCAAGTTGTTTCAGATAGCATAACAGACAAATGAAACAATTTATGACAGTTTATAATTGACTGAATAAAATTGTTTTTAAATTTCATTATTACTATTAAAAAGACGGAAATTAAAAGTGTAAGTAATATTAGTAGAGAGATGGTCTTACGGGAGTAAAATTATACCTAATAGTTTGTCATATTACAGGTAAAGTTCTATAGTATTTTGTATTGACTAATTTAATAGCTGAAACTGAATGGTATGCTGTAAGCATACAAACAACTATTACATAGCTTTTGGGTACTTTTGAGTTATCTCACTCATCTGTGGAAAAGGAAAAATAATCTCTCCTTGTCTTTGTTTTGTATTTATTTTGTTTTATTTTTGTATTAAAAAATATCTAAATGTTCTGTTTGGGTTGCCATAGCAACACAGTGTTCATCTTTCCTTTCTCGAAGATGAGCAGAATAACTATAAAACACTTGAAAGCTATGTAAGTGTTATTTATACACTCCATTAAAGCATCTTGCATAGTTTTAATCATTTAGTTGTGGCATTCTAGCTTACTAATAAAATTTAATAGCTTTTATTTATGAGCAACAGATGTTGTTAATGTTGCTCCATACGTTTGGTATTTGCCAGATGTCTAGCAGACAATTGGCCAATATCGAGCAGTACGGATGATTTACTGATGGCTAATATTTGGTATTTGCCATTTTCCATTCCTTGTCGGTATAATGTGCTGAATGAAGGGGAACGAATAGGCAATTATTTGACACTCGGCAAATACTGAATGCGTGGAACAGGCTTTAGTAATGAAATTATGTATTTGTGCTTTTTTGCATTCAGCTGCTAAATGGTTTGGTTTTTTTATTGTAAATACTACTGTTCTGTCAATTAAGAATGAATTGTAAAAGTCAGTAGTCAAAACAACCAATCTGATTTATCATACATAATCTGTGCTACAATATTTTGAATTAGTTATGTAAAAATTTTCTGAATAGTCACGATTTATGTCAGATTCAATCTTAAACATATACTTTACTTGATATTATTGAGGTTGCAAAATAATTTTACTTGATTTTTTTTTTATTTACATAATTTATCTTAAATCAAATTACATTTTTGAGTATTTTTATATGAAATTCAGGATTTTTAAATAAGAATATTCTTTAAAATTATCTTCTTGGAATTAATATTAAATTATCATTCAGGCATTAATAACACCATCATTTTTATTATAGTTATTCACTTTATTATATTGCTGTAATTTTTTCTTTTGGATGATGATGATCTATTGTTATATTCTGTCAAAAACTGTGAAAAATTGTGACATAACTTCATTTAGGTCCTTCACTCCTCATATATATGTCTGGTGTCTTACTTCAGTAAATCTAAATAAATTGAATTGTAATTTTCTTATCTCTTAAAGAATGTCTTAGATTAACTACTTACTGATAAGGGATGAAATTTATATTTTTTATATTTACATGAAATTTTTTTATTGTTTATGTTCAGATTTTTATTATTTATTCATTTGTTCTCTTTGTTTCAAGGTAGAATTTGGTTAATTTAAAATTTTATTCATTTCTTTTAGGTTGTTGTTTTGTAACATTTTACACCAGGAAATCTGCGCTAGAAGCTCAAAATGCCCTCCACAACATCAAAACGTTACCTGGGGTGAGTATATTAAAATGTTTTTTGTGTTAAGTATATGTGAAAATTGATAAATATCATTTTTTATCATTAATAATGACGTACTAGAGTATTTCATGTACCGATACATTACTGCTTTAACATTTCTTTGCTAAATAATTAAACTGTTATGAATATTAGAGAAGACATATTAATATTTTAATTTAATTTTAATCTATGTTTATATATTATTAATCAACAGAAAAGAACAAACATAGAAAAATTATAGCATTGTACTTAATTGATCAGAGTATAAGCAGAGCTCTGTTTAAGTCAAAATGTTTTTTTCTATGATTAAAATTTAAAGCAGCCCCACAACAACCAAACATGATTTTTTGCAAATAAGTATACAGGTATACCTCGACTTACGTCGTTTTCCTGGAACCAATTACTGACGTAAGGCGAGGTATACCTGTAATTCTGCAAGACAGATATTCTGGTAAAGTCAGAAATTTGATCTGTGGTTCGAGATATTCAAGATCAAAGCTTATTATGCAAAGTCTTTGGGCCAATTGCTAATTGTGTGTCAATCAAGTTTCCAATAGCTGTCAATTTACATTGGTCTTTATGACAATTTTACTTTTCTGGCTCTGTGATATATAACAAAGGAAAAGTATGGCAATTGGTCAAAAAAAATGCCCCCCCAAAGATTTTTACATTTTTGGTCTTGGGACCTTGAAGTATCAAGAAATGCAAAAATATCTGAGGTTTTTTTTCTGTACATATGGATGGTAGTGTGTGTGGATGGACATACCATATTTTGATGAGTATAAGTCACACTTATTTTACTACTTTTTGGGGCTCAAAATCATGGTGTGTCTTATACTCTACAGGTAACCATTTTTACAGTGNTCGACTTACGTCGTTTTTCGACTTAAGTCGTTTTCCTGGAACCAATTACCGATGTAAGGCGAGGTATACCTGTAATTCTGCAAGACAGATATTCTGGTAAAGTCAGAAATTTGATCTGTGGTTCGAGATATTCAAGATCAAAGCTTATTATGCAAAGTCTTTGGGCCAATTGCTAATTGTGTGTCAATCAAGTTTCCAATAGCTGTCAATTTACATTGGTCTTTATGACAATTTTACTTTTCTGGCTCTGTGATATATAACAAAGGAAAAGTATGGCAATTGGTCAAAAAAAATGCCCCCCCAAAGATTTTTACATTTTTGGTCTTGGGACCTTGAAGTATCAAGAAATGCAAAAATATCTGAGGTTTTTTTTCTGTACATATGGATGGTAGTGTGTGTGGATGGACATACCATATTTTGATGAGTATAAGTCACACTTATTTTACTACTTTTTGGGGCTCAAAATCATGGTGTGTCTTATACTCTACAGGTAACCATTTTTACAGTGAAATTATCTACAGTAGTGGTCCACTCTAAGGACCAACCTGTGCAGTGGTCGGTTAAGCAGATGGTCCCTTAACCGAATGGCTAGAGTACCTAGATTATCAGAGTTGCGACACATGAGTCATCGCCACCATGTTCTGTCGGCTGTCATCACATGACCTCTGAGTTTACATTAAGAAATGACGATTATTTCAGTTTAATAAAGGTATCGATTTATCCATCCATTATATTCTTGAATAAAAAAACAAATAAAATGCATCTTTAGACATTCCCATTAAAAAAGTTTTTTTCTAAATGTTTTGTCACAAAATAGGAGTTCGTCTTATACTTGACAGCGACTTATACTCGTCAAAATATGGTAATTTTGTTCACCATCTTTGAAGCTTAATAATTCTTTGTTTTTTGTCTAAAATTTCTGAAATTTTGTAGTGAGGTTTGTGTATGAGGGATTGATGCTATTAAATTTTTGTGGTTTAAGGTTGAGGGGTGGGGAGATAAAGGGAAGTTGTGTGTCATATCTTGAGTAGGGTTGCATTGATGTAAATGAGTAGTATGATGTAAATAGTAATGAGTTTACTCATTTTTAGCATTTAAAATTTTTTGTAAAACCATCCCTACCCTCAAAATAAAGCTTTTTGCCGTTTTATAATAATTAAAAATATAAAACTTTTTAATAATAAAATATCATAACAGATGCCACCACACATGTAGTTTTATATGTTGCTGGGAAAGTTAATCAACTTGTTGCTGGATATTTTTATTTTAGATTTAGATCAGTTTTAAACCTTTTTCTCACAGTTATAGTTTTATATGCTGCAGTGCTCAGTTTTCTTTTTCTAGAAAATATCCAGTATAATAATTACTCAATTGCAAGACACTGAATGGCATTATTGAAAATTTGAGTTATAGTTTCAGCCACAAACTTTGCAGTCATCTGAATCAGTATTTGAACTTGCATTTGGATAAACAATTTGTGAAAATTAAATAATAATAGAGAGGCACATTGCTTATGAGTATTAGTTGGATGGGATCAGTTAACACAGATGTAGGAAAGTCCCAAAAAAGAAGTCATAACAAATTTTTGAGTTATTTAGTAACATCAAAATAATAATGTAATAAAAAATGAAAATTTAATCTGATTTCTTTTTTTATTTTAGCTTCATCATCCAATTCAGATGAAACCTGCTGATAGTGAAAACAGGAATGGTAAACATATTTTTCTTTCTCAGTTTACAATCATGTCATTATTTTTTGATGTTTAGTCCTGCATTGTTTGTTTGTCGGTAAAGATAAACTAAATAATTACATTTTTTCTTTATTATTTGTTTGTTCAGTTGCTTAGTTTTTAGATATTTTATCAATCTAAAATATTTGCATCATTAGCAAAATGTTCATTTATAATTTTTCTACTACTTTCAGAAAAATATAAAAAACAATATAATATTAATCCAAAAACTTTATCATTTCTGTGGATAAGAGAAAAATTGTGTTTCCACATTTCAATAAGATTTTTACACAGATAAATCATTGTGTTGTGATAATTCTCACATGCACATATCATAATATATATATACACACACAGACAAACACACATATGCATGGATCTTTTGTTATTTATGAAGACTGATTTTGAAAAACTATACTCAATCTGTCTTTAAAAGTACAGAGTCTCTTAATAATACTTCTGAAAATTAAAAAGACAAAAATTTTCATAACTAAATAAAAAATTGAAAAATCAGATACTCTTGTAGATCTCTTAAGAGTCAGTAATGATGATGAGAAAGTTTTTATCAACTTGCTTAATTTAAGAATCTGGATAAAAATTTGTTTTATTAGTTTAGTCTACATCTAAAAAGTCCAAATCTGTTAAGACTAGACTTGTGTAAGCTATAACCTAAATTCATAAAAGCAAAATGATGATCTGTCAAAATAGGATTATGTTACAGCTAATGAAACAGATCATTTAAAAAAGTAAAAAAACTTAATTTGTAAACTATTGTCCATTTAGAATTTTAAAGATTAAATCAATGAATATTGTGTAATGAGCAAAATATACAAACTTATTAAATACTGATGTTTTAAGTTTTTGATTGAAAACATTCATTATTATTGTTCTTAATATATTTAATCTTAAAATATTGATGTAAGCAATTTACTTCTACTCAATTTATTAAAATTTTATATGAGTACTTTTATTAAATTCATTTTAAGTTAAAGTTTTATATTTGCTTATCATTCCTTGTTGCTAATAAAATGCTTTATTTTTGAAATCCTAGAAAGAAAATTATTTGTTGGCATGTTATCAAAGAAATGTAATGAAAATGATGTTCGTATAATGTTCTCACCATTTGGAACTATAGAAGAATGTACAGTGTTACGTGATGTTAATGGGCAAAGCAAAGGTAAATTATTGTTTTAAACTTAACTTTTAGTTAAAGTTGTCATAAATTTATTTTGGTGTTATTTTTAAGGCTGTGCATTTGTGACTTATGCTTCTCGACAGTGTGCTATTAATGCTATCAAAGGAATGAACCATTCTCAGACTATGGAGGTAAATAATTTTAGAAAACTTTCTTTTATAAGTTATTGTTTATATGTCATTTAAATAAATGTAATAATAGACTATTGTTAAATTGGCTATTAAATATATTTAAAATTGAATTAAACAAATACTTTTAAACATTTTAATTCAATGCATTTACTGTTTGTTTTTTTAATAATTGCTGGATAATTATAAAAACGAGAGAAAGAAATACTGTGGTTTAAATTTAATGTTAATTTTGTTATTTGTTATATTTTTACCTAAAATTTAATACAGTTTGAGCACTTGGCTTGTCCCATTTTATGGAATGTTTTCATGAATAAGATTTGTTTGTAAATTGGGGTTATACTGTACTGTTAAAACATTTGTTGTTTTTTCAGTGATATATGCATAAATGTATATTTTAACTTGTAATTGTATATAGTATTGTCATATTAAACAGTGATACCTTTGAAACCAAGAAAACCATTTTCTTCTTTGATAAGATGTCTAGCCCAGCACTTAACCGTGCTATATTGATTGGGCCATTTCTATAAAAGTTCCATAAATGCTGATGAATCTTAATCAGGACATCATTTTCACTATTCAGAAATAGAATTACACAGTGGTGTTTCTTTGCAAATCACTGTTATCTTCATTTTAACAGTTAACTAAGTTCACTTTGGCATCATTTGATAGAAGTGAAACTCAGATCATAAGCCTCGAGTATTCTGATATCACATCTTATAGTCTTTTCTGTTAGGAAAAATAGAAGATATCTCTTTTATACGACGCCTTGTATAATGAGAATTCAATCAATAATAAATATTAATGATAAGAATGCTTTTGCATTTCATAATTATCATTTAATGTTTGATTGTGGTGCTGAAAATAAGCATTTCTCATGCTTAACACTTATGTGTAGCGTCATCATTCAAAATACCATTGCATAAGTCGCGAGTAGGAAACTACATTAAATTCAGAATAAACATTTATTAATAAATGTTTCAGATTAAATTCAATGCCCATTAAACAGAAAATAATTGTAAAACTAGTTAACATTCTTTGCAAAATTGTCAACTTAGAGAAAATTCTTGTTAATTTAAACTCTGATAGTTCAAAATCTTGTTAGTTTGTAATTGTACTATTTGTCGTAGCCAGAGATATAGAGATTTACACATTAAGGGATTTGGTTAGTTCGAAATACAGCTACTGTGAGATTCAAAGTGAAAATTCTATCCAAACTGTGATGTGCGTTTGTTTACTCACTCATTTAGATTGAAGTGCTTCCATACTATGAAAGAACAATAGACCAAGAATAACTCTAATCTGGTCAACATCTCTCTGCTTTTACAGTTACACATTTTTGAGTGTCACCTTACCCATGAACTATACTTTTTTTCTCTTCTCGTAAAATACGGCCGAGTTTCGGGATTGTAAGATTGGGTTACAAGTAGCAGATTGAGATATTTATAAGGCTCTAGGCTACTACATTTGGGCAACTTATTACTTTTTGTGTCACTTTAATAAATTACATAAATTATGTGGTATTTGGTATATTGTACAGAAATATGCAAATCTTGGATAATTTAAAACTTGATAATTCAGAGTTGTGATTATTTTCTCCCTTGTATTTCAAACTAACGAGAATTTCCTGTAATAGCAAGTTCTCTTAATCAGTAATATTGTATTATTATTGTTGTTTGAAATAATTTTATTATTTTCTAATATCTACTTAATACTTATTACTCCTAACAGTTTTTTGAGAAATATCTGAAACAAACAAATCACACGATTACATTATAAGCAATACCATTTTATTTGTTCTTTTCTTAGGGATGTGGCAGTCCTCTTGTAGTTAAATTTGCTGACACGCAGAAAGAAAAAGATCAAAAAAGGCAACAACAGATGATGGCAAATTTATGGAACATGACAAATTGTGCTAACGTAGGTGCACTCAACCCTCAGTATTTGACAGTAAGTGATACAAATTATAAGTATAGGTGTTGTCCCAGTGCTTCGGGAACAAAGGTGGTCCCCGAAAATGGAGAGATGCAGAATAATAATGTATAAATTATTGAATAGTGAATTTTTTTAAAACTAGTATTAAACTGAAATTCAAAGTTTTAATGTGGTTTTTGTTGATATGTTAATATTTTTACTTGGTTATTTTCTTTACAGCTTTATAAATAGTCATTAAATTTCAAAATGATGAAAATGGGGACATTTGTAGTACAAATTTTCTCAACATTGATTTTATACATTACATTTCTAGTAAAATAATATTAGAAAATGAAATTTATTTAAGTTATTTAACAGATTCTGCATGTATAAAACATTTATTAACACAAAGTAATTAAGGTAGAAAACAGCTATTTATTTACTTGTTTACTAGTTCAATTGTAAAAATTGTTCATAAAGTTATGCATAATTTAGAGTACAGTAATAATTTATTGGTCTACCAAAATTTTTTGTATTAAAATATTTTGGCTCCAGTGAACTGACACAATAATAAAATATATAATATCCACTAAACTGTTAGAAGTTCTAAGGTAATTCTAATATATTTAAATTCAAATTATATTTTCTGAGACAGAAATCATAGAGTTGTATTGATACAATTATTAAGTATTTTTATAGATGAAAAATATTTGCAATTAAATATTAGAAAATTTATAAACAAAAATGTTTTTCACCTGCTTGTCTTGTTGTTGCTGAAATATTCATCTAAAACTGGTTTTCAAATGTGCCATGAAATTTAAAAAAAAATCAGCATTATTAAGACTTATTTTTATTAATAATTTTATTTTTTATATAAAAAATTGAAAATCTTTAATGTAGCAATTTAAGTATTTATGTAAGTGTGTTCCTTTTAATGTGATGCTGACCTGTGTGCCACTGAAAATTGTGTATCACTATCTCAAAGTTACAAATCACTGATATAAAAAATAAATCGATAATAATAATTAAAAAAAGGATAAAAAATATTTAATTAAGTAAATTAATTATTTTGCTATTTTTATAAAATGAGAATTCTATTTCTCTGGGAAAGTTTAAAATAATCAAAAAATACTTTTACAGTATATATTATTTAAAGTATTACATCCATTTAATTTTTGACAGAATATTGGAAAATTTGATAGATTTTATATATTTTCTTCCTATTTTTTAATTAATATTTATACTTAATTGTCTTATCATTTAATTCTTAAATTTTTTAAAAGGTATTTCATTTAAAAATTGGCTAATTTACTAAATTAAATTCTAGCAGGCTACACAGAATAGTGCCTTTGGAAGTTTTAACAATTTGTTACAAATGTCTGGAGGTAAGATAGTTTACTTTTTCATTTATTTATTATTTTTTCTTTCTTATTTATATTATAATTTTGTGTTTATGGTGTGCATAAAACATACACTCACGTGCTTACAAGCATAGTTTTTTTTTTAAATCCAGTAACTTTAATAAGTTCCAGGGAAATATAAATTTAGAAATGGGAAATTTTATTTACTAAATCAATATTTGCAAGTGCAGTAATGATTGTTTTTGCAGCTGTAGCTTAATTTTTGGGAATTTTTTATCAAACATAATTGATTCTGTAGTTGGTGAATGCAGGAATAAAATGTAAATTATAAAATCCTAGAACAAATTTAATGATGCATTAAAATGAATATTTTGTAAGTAAAAACTTACAGAAAAAAAATCTGTTTACTTTTATATTCTATGATGAGCTAATTTAGTTACATGAGATGTAAAGCTCAGTTTGACAAAAACAGGATGTACAGTACAATGCCTAGCATTCATCCTGTTTTTGTGTAATGACAAAAGAAATAGTTTAAATTTGCTGAAATAAGAATGGGAAGAAGAGGAAGTTCAAAGATTGATTAATCATTATCTAACAAATAAGAAATTTGATATACTTGAAATCTGGTCAGACTGGAAAAATGCATGGTTCAGAAAAGTAAAATGGATTGTCATTTCTTGGCAATTTTTATTCGTACTTTTGAAACACAAGAGAAAATAGGTTCATTCCCATAAATTATGCAATTAGAAATTTGTTTCTTTGACTTAAATAGGAAAAAGTTAGCAATTGTTTAATCTTCAAAAGTTGCATCAAGACTGACAATTGATTGTTACTGGACACAACTATATTGATTTGGTACTTTGATACATTCTTATTTCTAAATTGACAATTTTGCAAAAAAAATAACCCTAAAAGAATATAATATAATATTATATATATGTATAATAATAATAATAATCTATATCTTATACCTATAGTAATTTACCAAAGGAAAACTTGGAAACTACCTTTCTATTTTCAATTTTGTGTTTAAAATGAAGTATTAAAATATTTTGAGAGTAAGCATTCAAATGTAATAATTACTTTGCTGAATTATTATACAATAATTAGGAAATAATTAGCTTCTAAAGATGGTAAAGGTCACCATCTGTTGGTAAATCTAATGATTAAATTACCTAAATTTTTTGATTGATTAATTTAGAAGGGTCTAGAGAAAATAATAGAGATAAGAGAAAGATTCAAATTCACAACTCCTATTTAAAATGTGATTACATTGCTAATTATGTAAATCTTTTTGAATATTAACCCATGATGACATGTAGTTTCCATTTAGCATAGCTGTAAGCCTAAGGTGGCAATTTTCTGCTTATTTTTCATGCATAATTTTGCCTCACAGTTGTTCCTTCTATTTGGTAATTCTGAAAAATTCTGTGATGTGTTTTCTCTGTACATGCCAAATTATTCATTGTTCAGCTTACAAGATATTCTTTTGTTTATAGAACAATGTCCTTAACTCCTCTTCCATAGAAAGCCTCCCCAACTTTGCAAAAGTGTGAACTAATGTGAAACAAATTAAGCTGGAAATGAGTAAAGGGTGGGCTGAGGTATTTCTTAAAAAGACCAGAAAAAGATTTTCCTGTATTTTTGGGTATGATGTAAAGCTTCAAAAAAGTTTAAATTATTGAACATCATAATGCTCTAGGCTTAAGCATTCAATGTATTAGCAACTTGCAGATTGGCATATCATGACATTGTGCATAGTTGGCAAACATCCATGACATCATAATTCTCTTTTGTGGCAATTTTTAGAAGTCTCTGTGACTGACAGCACCAAAAACTTATATCAGATTGGAAAATCACTGTCTTACATGTGATTGTGGGGAGGAAAATTGTATCAAAAAACATGCACACAGTAGCAAATTGTTGCAGAGGTTATTTTTGAGGGCCTATGGTAAGTGAAAAAAGTTTTTCAATTAAAATTTTTATATGGTTATGGATAGCATGTGGCATAAGAATATCATGGTAGAACACCTAAGTCAATTTGATTAAAAATTACTGCAAGAACTATTATGTGCAGAAAATTGTCACTACTGCATATAATCGTGGGTTAAGGCAGACATTTTTAGATGTATAATTAAGAAATGATAAACAATGTTACATACTATCTTCACAGTCAGGAACAAATTTTGATAGATTATAGCTAAAATAATCTATTTATTTGGTAAGACAATACATTCATCAAAATAGTAGCTATTACTTCAGGAATTGTTTATTACATATTTGTAAAACATTTTTCATCTTACTTTAGGTAAAAAATCTCAATATCTACATTCAAACAACTTGTGTTAGAATACTAAAATATTCTCCGAATTCATGATAATTTAAAATAGAGCAATTGTTATTAGAATAGAATTTAATAAAGATGAAATTGTTTTACAAATAATCAATGAAAAGTTCCTAAAGTAATGGTTATTATTTTGATGAATATATAACACGGCAATGTGTTTTACTGAATTTGATGGTATCATAAAACATATCTATATTGATTTAGTTTATACAGCCATATAGTTATTTGGAAAGGATTGTATCAAGATATTTGACTTAAGTTTTTAGTCAGTTAATCAAAAAATTTAAATAATTTAATCATTAAATTAATTGAAAACTGATGATATGCCTTCTACTTATCATTATATCCTTCTGATCATTTAATTAATTTTTCAGGCTATACTTTTAAAAAACTAATTCATATTTCTTTATTTCAGTTTACTTACATTACAAGAAGCATAAAAATAGTAATTTTTATAAAATATTTAGTAATTTACAGAAAATACAGTATACAAATAATTGTGTTGTATTCATAAATTTTCTGATTGCAAACTGGAAAAGTTAATAAGCCATTCTGCAAAAATTGTTATTAGTGAAAATATTTAGAACAAAAATATGCTTCTTATGTGGCGTAAAGTTTTCGATCTATCATTATTCTCAAAACTAATTGGAATAATTTGGCAAATTATTATATTTGAACGACTGCGATCCAGATGCCTATATATTGTGTTATAAAAATAGTCATGCTGGAGTTTTATTAAGTCAACAGGTTCTTAAGTTTTAAATCTTTTAAATTAAAAATTTGTGGATTATGTTATGTGAAATGAAATGCTAATAAATATTGAATAGAGATAGTTAAATAGTTTTTGAGAAATTCTGGTGTATCAGTTAATGATACTGCAAATCAAAAGCCAAATGTAAAGTTCAAATTTTACTATTTATCAGGATAGAAGATATTTGTTCAAAGGTGCAGTATCTATAAACCACGTGGAGAAAAAGATGAATCTGTGTTACTGTCTTGGTCACAATAAGCTGTTTTACATAAAACTAAATTTCTGTTTAAAACTAATTACCATTAATCTGTGCACACAAAAATATTTACAGTTTTATAGTCTGACATGAATATTTTCTAAGAATGTATGTTTGTTATTTACTGAAAAAATAGGTTTAGTCTAATATTTCTAGTGCTTTTTTCGTTTATGCATGCTTTCTCAAGAATTCTGTAGACTATTATTTAGTCTTGTTAAATGCATAATCTAGATTTTCATAAAGATTTTTACTAAGATTCTTTGTGTATAAAAATATAAAAATTATGAATGTTTTTTTTTTACTTATAAAGCATGACTATTG